AGACCAATTAAATCATAATCTCAAGGGATGGGACATTGGCCTTTTAAAAAAAATCATCTAGATTATTTCAATGAATAGTTGGGTTGAGTCCAAATACTAATCTTTCAATCCTTCCCAGTCAGTCTTCCATATTACCCAAAGTGTTTCTTAAACAATGGCTTCAATGTTGGCATTTACCCAGGAAAACCTCCATGGCTTCCACTGCCCCCAGGCTGAAGTCCAAAGTCTTTTCATGGCACTCAAGAATCTTTCACTATTTGGATAATGAAGATTGATTCATATGAGTCTGGCACTTTACTGAGGGCTTTACCTGTATTATCTTATTCAATACACACAAGTGTCAGTTTCCTCACCCATAAAATGAGGACATGAAAAAAAAACACACGGCATAGTGTCTGGCACACAGATACTACTCAGTTAACAACAAGTTAACCCTTAACCATTACCTCCAATACTACTATTTTACAGGTGAGAGTGAAGTTTCAGGGAAGTTAAGCAACTTGCCCAAGACCACAACCCTAATAAATGAGCTGGGTTGCTTTTCATTCTGTTACTGAAGACCTGTGCTCCACTCACAATTTCTAGACTTCCCATTGACCAGGCCTTTGCATGTCATTTTCCCTGCCAGAGGCAGTGATTCTCACTTCTGTGATGTCCTCAGCCTTTTCTATAGACCTCTCTTCCATTCTCAATATGCAGATCGTCGTTTAGGCAGATAGTACATCCACATCCACGATGCCTCTTTCACCTCTAGCTCCACTATACCTTGCCCAGCAAGAAGCAGACCTCTGTGAGTGTTTGGTGTGTATTGTTTTTTTGTTGTTGTTGTTTTGTTTTAAAATTTTTTTTTTTTATTTGATGCAAGTAGAATCTGCCAGCGTGAGCCAAGTCAAGTGTGGAGAATAAGACCTGCTGGCAGGGACCATGTGTGTCCTTATCTGTCAGACCTGGCTCTTGCTTTGCTCTCCTGTTCCCTCTACAAATTCTCCCCACTCGAAGTTCACCCCTCCAGATGTCTGATATCATCCAGGGGCAGAAGTCTAGAAAGATCCTCATCTCCCCAGTTCATTTGTTGTTGTTGTTATGTGCTGTCAAGTCACTTGTGACTCATAGCAACCCTATATATAACAGCCCTAAATCCTGCTCTGTCCCGTGCCAACCTCATTGTCTCCGTCACACCTATTCCCACTATCTCAATCACTGAATCGGTCCATCTCATCTAGGTTTTCCTCTCCTGTCTTCCAAACATGATGTCTCTCTTCAAGGACTGGTCCCTCCTTGCAACATGTCCAAAGTATGTCAGAAGAAGCTTCAGAATCCTTGCCTCCAAGGAACAGCCTGGCTTCACCTTCTCCAGGACAAACCTGTTTCTTCTCCTAACAGGCCATGGTATATTCAACAATCTTCTCCAGCACCACAGCTCAAAGGCCTCAATTTTCTTACTCAACAAATATTTACTGAATGTCTACTACAAGCCAGGCACTATACCTGGTACCACGTACAGAATGGAGAACACATCAGGTGGTCCCTGCCCACATGAAGCTTACATTCTAGTGAGAGAGACAGACAACAAACAATATGCAGATGGAAATATAATGACAAATTCTCCATGGAAGGAAAAAACATGTTATATTGAAATTAACATAGAGAGTATAAGTATTGTGGCCAGAAAAGGCCTCTTTGAGCATGTGACAAGCCAGGGCTTGAGGGTATGAAGAACTCTGTCTGACAGGCAAAGAGTAAGAGGAAAGTATTCTGGGAAATGGGAATAGTCTAGGCAAAATCCTGGAAGAAGAAAAAAGATTGGAATGTTGAGGAAATGAAGGCCAAGATGAAGGAAGTACAGGAAACAAGGCGAGATATGAGGTACGAAGCGATGTTGGGATCAAGGAAGGAACAGGTTGTATTTCACCATTATAAAACTGGAGGTGGTTGCAACAGCAAAAGAATTTTTTTTGTCAAAGAGAAAAGCCAACTGGAGGGGGTGGGTAGGGAGGAAAACGTGCAACAATTAATCAATGGAAATCCAAATTCTTTAGAAACTTTAAAAAAAA